TTTTAATATTCTCTAAATTAAATACAGCCCGTGCATCGCACGGGTTACATACTAGTACATCTTAATGTGTAATTATGTATTTATATTATATTATAGAATAGTTATTGCTAATACCAACTAATAATAATTCACAATAAATATTAATTATATAATTATAAACAATTGTTTCAACTTATGTATTTTAACATCAATATTATCTTTTTCTTTTGTATCTCATAAAAATATTCGATTAAAAACAATTAGTAAATTGTTTTAATAACGCAAGTTAAATAATTTTAAAATCTTATAAACAATTGTATTTATATAATTAGTAGCTTAGCATTTAATTTTACCTATTTAATATAAAATCGTTAACTTATTTTTCCTAATGATCAAATTTTTGAAAATGTAATATGTTAATTATCTAGAATTTTAATATTAAATTTTCAAATATTACTTACTAATATTTTATGTACATCTGTGCATGTGCACAGAATATCTACTAGTATTTATATACAAGCATGCCCTAAATAACCACGAGAACTTGAGTATTAAACAAGAAACCAAAAACACAAAGGGTTAAACATATAAATAAGCTAATGTGCTTAGGTACCAGCGGCTCCAGCTGCTGTTTAGCGTAAATCTTTGCTTCTTCGGCCAATTTTATTTCTTTATGATCAACTGGCTCATAGGCAATAGGGTCCCGAGGTTGGGTATCAACAATGATCTCCTTAAGCGCGACACAATTCTCCAACAAGTAGTTGACTAATTCAACATCACTCGGGCAACCATAATAACCTAAAAACTGAAAAACGTTCAAGTGCTGGTGCAGTGGAAACTGCTTAACTCCCTTCTGAATTTCTCTATTCGACCTTTCAGCTTTTAACAAATTTTGCTGCAAATATAAGTTGAAATAAAATAAAGGTCATGCATTAATATAACATATAAAATTAAAGACAAAAAAAAAAAAAAAAAAAAAAAAAACAAGCCATTCAATGATGACCAGTTTACTCGAGATTGTAGGGATAATAATTTCAAACATGTTTGGGATAGCCCAACCTTTAACTCAAATTCTTGCAAGTTGGGAGATGCGTTGATAAAGTGAGCTAGGTCTAGAAGACTCGAGTCCACTCCAATTAAACCTTTTATGAAGACCAACTTCCTAAGTTTAGGCATCACAGGGAAATTGAGCATCGATAGCACCTGCAATAACAATGAACAAAGATATCAACTGGTAGTTACACTTTAAATAGTTCAGTCAGAAACTATCGAAAGATTATCATAAGTGCTTGTTTCCGTGCACTTTCGGAAAAGTCCATTTCACAAAATGGACTTGTGGAAAATAGACTTCTCCAGAAGTCCTCATCTTTTACTTCTATAGAATGGAATTTTTAGAGAAACAACTAATCCATAAGTCCATTCTTAAATCAGCACCAAACATAAATATTTATCCTAATGGACTTTTGCATCCAACAGTCCACTCAAGAAGTATTTCCAAACAAGCCCTTAATAACTTAAAATATTTTTCTTATACAAAACTGATTATTGTCAAATTTTACATAACCAAAATGCTAAGAAAGCATATGGAAAAAAAAAAAAAAATCATAAGAACACATTTATTAAAAAATAAAAATGGATGCTAAAGTATTGAACTGTAAATATCAAAGGATGCTAGAATTTTAAATTATTTAGTTTGTTTTTTGTACATAATTAACCCAAAATTTTCTATAAAACCAAACACGGCTTCAAACAATGAATCTATATAGTTGGTTTGACAACCATTCGTGTATTGTGTGAGCCACCAAATTTAACAGTTGGCAAATCTGCAATAGGGCTCTATTATTATGTTTTATAGTGCAAAGACAGAAATTAACCACGCGATATTTACTTTATCATCAATAGGCTTCACTAATGAATATAAACAAAATAAGAAAGACAACGTACCTTCCTAAGATAAATGTTCAAGGAGAGAATCTCCAATTGGGAAAGACAGCAAAGCAGTGTGGGAACTAGCCTTTGTCCATATAAAAAATCACGCCGAAAGTCTCCAAAGTGCACATAAACGTCACGAAGCATTGGAACATCCTCAAGCATGAGGCCTTCTATTTTACCAAGTATAAGCGTACTAACACAAGAGATGGTCCACAAACTTCAAGACTGGTAAATACTCTGGAGCAATAGACAACTATCTTCTCGAGTAATGGGCAGTAACGTAAGAAAACTCGATAGCTTCACCAGAGACTTTAGTGCGGCTTAAGCACAAAACTTTTAAGGTTTTATAGTTGAAAATTCTGCTATCTTCCCGTAACAACTCTCGAGGAAACACGTATGCTTCATCTGAGCCATAAACATAACCATCATGTAAAATGTTCAATTCCAACTTTTCGATGTGCCTCTCAAAAGCAAATTCAAGCCACTTCGTAATTGATGGTGATTGATTTAAATTAAAACATATTCGTAATTCTTTCAGGCTGAATCCTCTATGTGATTGGAGAACCGAATCCACCCACCTTACGTACTTTTCCCTTTCCTTCTTTAAAGTGCAACAATCCGGGTCCTGGGCAATCTTCTCCATGGTACTATGGTCATCAAAGTAGAGATAAGAGGTGTAACTCCACAAGTATCTCCAGCGAGATGAAAGAACACTTGTTCGGCCAGATTCTTTCAATGGGAGGGAAGATAGGATAACAAGGAGAATATCATCAGGCAACACACTTATGAAATCATCACCATGGTTGTATATCTCAACACACTATCAAGTATCAAACAAACATGGTGATATAACCCATTAAGAATGCAATAATCAACAACTTAAAAAAAAAAAAAAATCACAACATAAATCGGACGGGATTTTCAAGTTCATACACATTCACACTCTTCGTTAAACAAAAAATCACAACATAAAATACGGTCTCACCTTATTCAGACTCGAAAGTTCCATCTTTTTCGATCTCAACTCAAATTTCACCTTTTTTCGGTCTGTAAATTTTGATCTTTTAGGGTCCGAACTTGGAATCAAGTTCGAATTTAAAATCAAATTTGAAGGTTTACCTCCGAAGCTGCAACAAAACCTTTTTGGGTCAGGACTCGGGATAGGGATGGCAGATTGGGCCAGTGAAGTCATAAAGGAAGCCACTAATGACAGTGATCGATCCGAGGAATCCGGAACTGGACTGATCAGGACTAAAAAATTTAGATGAGAGAAAGAGAGGAACTGGACTGATCACGGCTCGTTCCAAATAGATCTCATCCGGGCTCGTTCCAAAAGCTCGATTTAGTAAAATCTTTTATTTTGTATTTTATATATATTTATATACGCACAAATAGATCCGGATCAGTCCAGTCCAGTTCGGACAAATATATATCCAAATAGATCATCGGATCAGTCCAGTCCAGTTCAACTGATCCGATGATCTATTTGGATATATATTTGGATATACTATTGACATCACATCACAGTCGTACATGTCGTTAATGTTTCAACATCAATTTCATTCGGACAATGATATCTTGTCAATATTCTTCATTATGTATTATAATTTGAAATATAAACATCTGCGATAGCACAAACAATAGAACTCTTATCTATATATGTACTTATCATCTTAATTTTTATTTAGGTTCGACAAAATGATTGCAAAATAACGTAATGTTATAAACTCACGTTCGAGTCGTCAACACTTCACATTAATTTCAATCCCCTATTCATTAGTTCCAAACTTCCAGTGATTTGTGAACAAATTCATAACCACATGTCTAAAAAATAAATACAAGTAATACGAGACGTATTGTACAAGAACTACGTTCACTTTCATTCGCAATAAAAAATGAACACGTATTTAATATATATATACATATATATATATATAAATATATACTAAAAAAAAAAACTCGGAACCGGCGGGTCTGACCCGGACCCGGACCCAGCAGAAAACTGGCGGTTTTCAGACTCGCCAGTACAGGGCCGGTTCATCGAACCGGCCCTTACTTCTAACCGGTCCGGTTCATCGAACCGGCCCTTACTTCTAACCGGGCCGGTCCCGGTTCGCCAAATCCAGGACCGGTGGCCCGCCGGGCCGGGCCGGGTCGGGCCGGGACCCGACACCTGGCCATGTCTACTTATAAAGATATAAGTGGAAATTGCACCCCATACTAATATACTTAATTTATATCACACTTTTGGACTCCTTACATTTTTATTTTTAAAATAACCTAAACAAGCTAAAAAAATTTCAATTATACGTAATACACATTGGTAACCGTTATTAACTTTTTAAATGCTAATGAGATATTAAGTGAATTAAAGAGATATGAATCTGCACAATCGCTCCATATCCGCTGATCAACGCAAAAATCTGGGAAGATAGAGATCGAAGCAATGGTCCTAGGTCGTCAGATCCGTGATCAACCTATTCGACCGTCAATTTTCCGACGGTGAGACGCTCCTCTTCTTGATCTTCTCGACCGTTGTCGTCATCTTCCTCACCATCGTCGGATCCGTACTCGTGTCGGGCCTCATGGTCGGAGTCGGTATTATCTGTTTGCACGGTGCTTTTAGGGCTCCTGAAGATTTGTTCCTTGATGAGCAGGAGCAGCAAGGAGGTATTCCTCGATTCTTTTCTCTCTTCCCCGATGGTGCCCCGGTTGCTGAGCAGCCACACGTAGCTGCTCGGGTTTGATCTTCTGTCATTGTCTCAGGGATAATCTAGTAAATTTTATATGTTTTTTGTTTTTCTTTAACAACTTCTTTCTTTTCTAGATCTACTGAACAAATTTGTATGAATTTGATGACCGAACTCAAATGCAGTAATATAATTACGTATATACATATATTTGCTTAATCAAAGAATGTCAATATTTGTATAGTTTATTATTGGGAATCCTCGGCTTTTTGGCAAGTAGCTTCAACTTGATATTAATCTGCATTTTTGTGATTGGTGTTGCTTTAAACAGTGGACCGCCTTTGAGCCACATTCCATGTAATTTGATAATGTTTATCCCACAGATTTTGATACTTAACACAACCATTCATCCTTTGATAATGTCTTATTGAAATCGATGCGGACGACGGTTGTCGTTGGCATCGTTGAACTCGAAGTCCTAGATAGTGTCTAGGTTGGAGGCATTGCAGACGATGGTGGAGTTGAAGAGACCGAGGTACTGGCTGAGCTGGGCGGAGGCAAGGTGCAAGAGTGAGAGATATATTGAAAATATACTGAATATATTAGTTATTGTACATCTAGTTTATGTCTGGTATATTAGTTTATGTAGAGTGTATATGAATTATATGTTTAGTATATGTACGTCTTAGGAATA